ACTGAGATAGGTGTGATGCAGTACTGCCCCCTGCTGGAAATACAACAGACGTCAAACAATTGAATTATTCAGTATCTGGAGCTCCACATTATTTAGTCATAAAGATGGTAGATAATGTGTTTTAAAACATATAATGGACTTTAATTTAGTGTATTATATGCCTATGGGGAGGGGGGGGGTTGATTTTTTACATTTATTTATTTTTTACTAATTTGACAGTTGCATCAGACTGCAGGCTCTTTCATTATAGACATATAAAGAAAATAAATGGATTCACATCCACATACACAGTGAAATACCACTCAATTAGATAATTAGATTCCTACACACAGGATTATCCACTAAAGTGAAAATTATTTGGAATTCAAAATTAATTTGACCAAATAGTCAAATTAGAATTACTGTCTAAGTCAATTATATTCAATTAATCAATTGGCTATTTAGGCCTTAAATTTGAAATTTATTTTGAAATGATGGGAATTATCACTTTAGTGAATAATTCTAAAAGTGTTAATACATTCAGGTAGACCCCTGCATTCACACACTCACACAGTGAAATTTGACTCAAGTAAACCTCTGTATTTACACAAATAGAGACATTTATTGCATCCCTGCATTTATACATACAGTGACACACCAATCATATAATTCTCTGTATTCACACACTCCCACAATGAAACTCTACTCAAATAAACCTTTGTATTTACACATAGTGACATTTTATGTCATTAGATCCCTGCATTTATACACAGTAGCACTCCACTCAAGTTAATGTCTGCATTCACATACTGTCACACTCCACTCAAATAGACCCCTGCATTCACACACACTCTACTCAAATAGACCCTCTAGCACACAATGACGCCCCACTCAAATATACCCCTTCATTCACTTCATGAATTTTTACAGTGACATGCTACTCAGATGGATCACATACTCCACTCAAATATACCTCTCCATTTTCACACATACACAACGATGCTCCACTCAAGTACACTCCTGCATCCACACAGTGAAACACCACTCAATGATATCCCTGCATTCACATAAATACAGTGAATCTCCACAAATCCCTGCATTTTCACACACAAAGAAAACTGACCCTTGCTTGCGTGTACACACACTCTCTCTGTATTCAAACCCGTGCATTTACACAGACAATGACACTCCAACCAAACAGACCTCTGCATTCCTATACCCACACAGATGGACATACACACTTACTTCAATTTCCCACACACTGTCACTCCACACTGTGCTCACACTGTCAAACAAAAACTGCTTAAAAGAATGTTTTAAGAATGGCTACTTTTTTCCCCACAATAAGTCATCTCAGCTTGCTTTCCACAAATTCTCTTATAAATAGGGGATTGATTAATATTATAGAGCACACCTCTTGTTCAGCAAAAAACACCGGTATATGTGAGGCACTCATAGTGGAGTTGGACTGGGTCTCTAATCGTAGAGATTTTTTCTCATTATAACATTACCATCAGACTTATATAAGCTGGAAGGCCATCTGGCAAGACAAGATCAGTTGCCGGACGTTCTTTGCAAGGCTTGTTGTAATTATGCTGACATCCCCATATGGTCATCTTGCTACTGTGCACCTTCATTACCCCATCCACTACCAGCTATCAAGCATGCTTTTTTGTCTCCTCATTGAGACAATGCTGTTAGCCACTAGAAGCACTCCTGTTTTGGAAGGATGTGCAATAACCAGTGCTGTGGAGGAGGTGCCCAATAGTTTCCCGGTAGTAGATGCCACCACGGGGACCTCTTTTCCTATCATTCACGGGGATTGATCTGTAACACTCTCTTAGATTAATATCTGGACATACAGATTGTAATGGCTTCCAGATCCTATCTGGATTTATGTATCCCAGTGTTCTTACATTGCAATTTTTGTTCTGGGGAAATTAGATTTATCTGTATTTATGATATCCTCTGGGACAAATCTGATGGATGGATGAAGATATTTGCAATATAGGACAGTAGATATGATAGGGTTGTCTAGCTGAGATACTTCTTGTCAAGATAGTTTTGGAGAGGGACTTGGAGAGGGTCCCTTCACGTCAAGTTGTTCTAAGTTAGTAGTTGCCAATCGTTTCTAGAATGAGGCACACTTCACTGATACCAAAAACGATATACCTACTATTGTACAATAAAGGATGACACATAAATACCTGACATTATAGTGTTACACTAACTATTTAGGTCCCTGCCCCCCCTATTTTACTCACCTTTTCACCCACGCAGCAGCAGACTCACCATGGCTGAGATTATCAAACATGATGATCTCAGGCAATGCTTTTCCATAGGAAAGAATTGATAGGCTATTGCGCATGCACGTCAAAATGTCGTGCTGCACCCATCAGCATCTCCTCATAGACATGCATTGAATCAATGCATCTCTATGGGGAACGTTCAATGATTCTGTAACCGTGTGTGGTTCCCTTATTTACCACTATAATGTCTTAAAGCATAGAACTTAGTAGGGCTAACCATACAGATATCTTAGCCATAATTTTATATAGTGTAAGAGATCCTCTATTTAACATATATAAATAATTGAGAATACAATATAAAATAAGGATTGTCTTGGAAGCAAGATTGTCTTTTGGATATTTATTATATAAAAATATAAAATCCATTATAGCAGAGTTTATAAGATTAAATTACATGCTTGCAAATATCATTAATAGGTTAACATACCCTTCTGAACATGTCATCATGTCAGCCTCTCTGTCATTTTAAGATGGAGCAGCGTCTGTCTCCAAGTCTCTCCTCTGTGTCTTAACATTTAAAAGTACACCTATTTATACCTTAGGTGTCTCCATTTTAGGTTACTGTAGTTCAAATATGAAAAAGTAACACTTCTTTTACTTTATTCAATTTAGGACCTCCCTTAATTTGGCAAACATACAAGGCCATAACTAAAGGGTGTATACGTCATGGAAATTTTCCTGACTTAGTTCAAGATGGCATCTTAAAGTCTGAATAGGTTATCTGTTGTTTATACCAAGTTGTAAGTGTACAGTCGTGGGAGATTCCCGGATTTGGGGAAGTTCCATTAACGTGGGGTTACCACAGTATATTGTGTACTGCAAGTGTCGTAGTATAGCCTTGAAGCTTGCTTATGCATTATTGTTATTGTAATTCGTCTGGGACAAAATGGCGCAAACATATTATGCACTGAGGTTATTGCTTAAAGAAACATCTGTGAAAAACAATGTGTTCCATTTCTAACACCTTGTCAGTTTGCAATATCTCTTAAAGACAAAGTACACAGTTTAAGAAATACAACATTTCATTCTAACACTTGTAATATTTGTATTTGCCCATAACAATTCCACGCAGAGCGTGGATACGTTGAACGCCAGTCTGAGTGACTACTACTAGAGGTGTTCCTATGCAGCAATGTAAACACTGTCTTTTCTCTGAAAAGGGACAGACTATAGCCACCAGAACAACTACATTAAGCTGTAGTGGCTCTGGTGACTATATTGTCCCTTTAACCATCAGACTGATATGTGTTTTTTAAATCCTGCAAATCACTATCATTTAATATTAAAAATGTAATTTAATTACTTTAAATTTATATTTTTGCTTTTTGAGCGAAGCACTTATATAAAAGTAAACTATATCATACTGAAGATTCTAAATGTTCATGTGAGAGCATGAAATGGCTTCTGAGCACTATAACCAGTACGGTGTGCAATAAATATGCTTTCTTAACCCCTTAAGGACCAAACTTCTGGAATAAAAGGGAATCATGACATGTCACACATGGGGTTAAGAAGGCAAAAGGGTTTGTTGACATATTGTATTATGTATGTCATTTATTAACTGACCGGTCTGACATGCATGATAAAATGTTAGCCAAACCTTTCGTCTGCTTAAAGCTAGGATTACAGAACATATTAACATGATCAAACGTAAAGATAATACATCCTCCGTAGCAAGCCATTTTGTTTTATGCACTAATGCTGATATTTTCCATGCAAAGCATATAGAGGTAGTGCAAACCATATTGGAGGGAAAAGCTGTACTAGACAGAGGTTGAATTCATATTTATGTTGCAGAAAAGAAAACCAGTTGGTTTATATTTCTGAAAAATTATTTGGATCAACTTCTGAATTCAAAACATTTCCTCGTTTTATTAGGCAGGTTTGGAAGGTAATTTAGGGTTATTCACCAAAACTCTAATTGTTCGCATTTGAAGTGGCAAAACCAATGAAAAGTTAGTCCGGTTGAGAATTTTTTCAGATCAGTTTATTTTTCCCTCAGATTTTTCACAAATTAAATCTAAACTAAAAAAAGAGTTTAGTAAAGACGCATGAATATGTCCCATTTACTTGCTAATCTATCTATGGAATGTTCAGTGTATATGTTGTATACGTCATGTCATTGTACTTTTAACTTGCAATTGTTACAACGTTTAATCTTTCTGATTAGAATACTATTATATATAGTTCACTCAGTCTAGTCCATGATTTATCAATATTTTCATTTGATTTATTGATTTTTTGTATTTGTAAGATTAGTACTGGTAGTGGTTCAGTGTGTTAAAGCGTGTGGAAAAAGTGATCATACACGAAATTCGTTGTGCTAATGTGTTTACTTAAAAATACACAACACCCTGCCAGTGTCAATGAAAAATTTTGTTTCATATAAATAAATTTCATTTTTTTTTTTTGTTTGTGTTAAATCCGTTTTTATTGATATCTTCACAATAAACCATTTTCCCACGCAGGGGATATGGCTCAAACAGTGCATAGGTTATGGAAAAACAAATAGATTGGTATTGTTTCTAACTTTTTTATTTTTTTTCTGTTATAACTTTTTGTGTTAAATTGTTTTATTTTGTGTTGAATGGTCTTTATTTTGTTTATAGTATAATAGCAGACTTGCATCGGATTTGAAAGTTAGGTACATGAGTGCCTACGCAGAGGCTCAGTCGGTTAAATAACAATAAGTGCACATGCGACTATGTAGAGGCCATATTTAATGTGGCTTTGTGGTGTCTTGCTTTGGTGCCTAGTGAGTGCAGTGGGCCATGGTCAGGCATGTGAGCATGTGCAGTGCCGAGTGTATCTTTCTAGCACGTGAGAGGTGGAGTAGGGAGGGCAATGTGGAGTGTTAGCTTTGCCTTCCTTCTTGTTTCTCATTTTAGGTGGCCTAGTCAGCAAGTTTGGCGTTACCTCCTAATGGGGGACTGGTACTGGGTTTCGTACGTGGGCTTGCGTAGTGGTTGGGTGTAGTTCAATTCTTTTTGAAGTTATTGTGTAGTTGTGTGAAGTGTGTGCATCATTGCTGGGTCAGGTATTTGAGTTGTTGAACTTTCTAGTGTGCGGGGGTCAGACCCGGCGAATAGCGAGGTGTGTTTATGTTGCCTTCCCTCTCGTTTCCTGGGTGTAGCTCAGTCAGTAGGTAAGTTATGTACTCCTGGTGAGGGTGAACTGTCGGAGTTGCGGGTTCATGTCATGCGTTTGCGTGGTGTCGCTGCCCGTCTGGGCCTGTCGGCTGTGTGTGTGGCTGGTTGTGTGTGGTGTAGGTGGCATCTGTGTCACGTGGTATCGGGATTGTCTCTCGGTCTTCGAGTGGAATTTTTTTTGGGGAGGATGTAAACGTTAATTGCAGTTTATATCTATTAGTGGGCATATACTGTGTACCCACAGATATCCTGGACCCAGATGTTCCATCAGTACTGAGCTCTGGTTTATGTCTACCTGGAACCCATAGTGTTCACAAAAATATCTACATTTCATGTTAGTACTCCAACCAAAATATCTATCGGAGCCAAAGCGTGTGTGCAATTCTAGCTCTGCATTGGCACACTTCTGGCAACAGCAGGTGATGATGGTTAAATCTGCCACCTTGCTTGCGGATATCTTGATAGGAAAAAAATGCAGTGATTGCTTCCTTAACAAACTCCTTAAGTAGAATATTCTTCCTTCTATTTATTCCATGACTTATTTTATTATTTATTAAGTTTTGGGGGGTGAAGGAGAGAAAGAAATTAAAATGGCACTGTAATGATATTGATGTTACAAAGTTTTGGAGTCCAGTAGCCAGATCAGCAATGTTTTCTGCCAGAGGTAGCCACTCGTTACCCAGGTGGTTGAGCCCCTGAGCCTTGAGTGGCCTTCTGGTCTTAAGCAGAGATGGGAGACTGGAACAGAAAGATGATAATCGTAGTGAGGCAAGCCGAGGTCAGTGGGAAGGAGAAGCAGCAAAGTCAAAACAGTCCAAATTCAGCAACAGGAAGGAGAAACAGGAACACGCTTGATTAGAGAGTACAGGAACCACAATAATCTGGCAAAGGTACAGAGACAGGAAGTGGCTTTTATAGGCCAAGAACCAGACACCTGACCAGACACAGCTGAAGAGAGTTGTCACTGATAACCTTGACTCTACAAGCAATGGTATCAGATCTCAGGTAAATTTGCAAAAGGCAGGCTGGTGTACTGGTAAGGAAAAGGTTTAGCACCATGTAAACCAGGGTTCGAAACCCAGCAGAGTCAGTTCCTCACATTACCTCCACCTCTACAGGCGCAGCCTCTGGATGCCCTATTTCCTGGTTTAGCAGGGTACTGTGCATGGAAAGACTGAAGAAGATCAGGAGCATGAATATTGTCCACTGGTTCCCACGATCTATCCTCCTCACCATAGCCTTTCCAATGAACCAAGTATTGAAGCTTGTTGCGGAAGATCCTGGAGTCAAGAATTTTTTCCACCTCGTATTCATCTTCACCATCCACGAGGACTGGTGGTGGGGCAGGCAAGGCTCGACCAGGGAAAGTATTTTCATGAAAAGGTTTAAGCAGTGCCACGTGAAACACCGGATGTATTTTCATGGAATCTGGAAGTTGCAGACGGAAGGTGACTGCATTGATCTGAGCGATTATCTTAAAAGGTCCCATGAACTTTTGACCCAATTTATGAGAAGGAATCCTAAGCTTAAGATTCTTTGTTGACAGCCAAACCTTGTCCCCAACATGATAAACTGGGGCCTCCTTTCTATGCCTATCAGCAGCTCTTTTGTAACATTCCTGAGCCTCCGAAAGAGTCTCCTTCAACAGTTCTTGGGAATCTCGTAAGGCGGTTAGCCGGTCAGTGACTGCAGGAATGGGAGTAGTAATTGGGAGACTCACTAGAAAGGTTGGATGGTAACCATAATTGGCAAAAAATGGGCTCAGAGAAGTGGAGCAGTGTTGGGCATTGTTATAGGCAAACTCCGCCGTGGGTAGAAAATCCAGCCAGTCATCCTGCAGGTAACTAATATAGCACCGCAAATATTGTTCTAAAGTCTGGTTGGTTCGCTCAGTCTGTCCATTACTTTGTGGATGAAAAGCTGAAGACAGATTTACATTAATACCTAGAATAGAACAAAAATATTTCCAAAAATGAGATGTAAACTGCACTCCCCTGTCAGAAATTACTTCATCAGGCACTCCATGCAAGCGAAATATTTCCCGAATAACAAGGTCAGCAGTCTGTTTAGCTGAAGGGAGACCACGAGCTGGTATGAAATGACTCATCTTGGTTAACCGGTCCACAACAACAAGAATAGTAGTGTGTTCCTTAGAGGGAGGTAGTTCCACAATAAAGTCCATGGATATAGATCCCCAGGGACGATGAGGAATCGGAAGAGGCTGAAGCAAGCCAACAGGGGATGAGCGAGGAGTCTTATGTCTGGCACATACATCACATCAAGAGGACACATATTTCTTAACATCCTCATAATATTTAGGCCACCAAAAGGATCGGGTAAGTAGTTCTTGTGTCTTTCGGATTCCTGGATGACCTGCTGGTTTAGGGTCATGGTAGAGGCGTAAAACGTCCAGTCGCACTGATTCTGGAACAAACAGACGTTGTTGAAAAATCCAAAACCCATTAAGCATGGTCATATGAAGATCACGAGGGGGATCACGAAAGACTGGATCTTTAGAGTAGCCCTTTTTAATGCGAGACATTAGATCAGAAGGAAAGGTAACTCCTAAAAATCTGCTCTCCGGCAAGATGGTGGCCTTGGTTACTGTAGTATGGAGGGGGTCAGCTATCCTAGACAAGGCATCCGCCTTGCCATTTCTGGAACCAGGGCGGTATGAAATAAAAAAATTAAACCTTGAGAAAAATAGGGACCAGCGTGCTTGTCTGGCTGACAGTCTCTTAGCGGATTGGATACATTCCAGATTTTTGTGATCTGTGAGGACAGTAATTGGATGGGTGGCTCCCTCCAAGAGATGTCTCCATTCGGTGAAGGCAGCTTTTATAGCCAAAAGTTCTTTATTCCCTATGTCATAATTTCTTTCTGCTGGTAACATCTGGCGGGAATAGAAGGCACATGGATGTAACAACATCTTAGGTCCAGTCCTTTGAGACAGTATAGCCCCAACAGCTGAATCAGAAGCATCTACCTCTACAGTAAATGGCAATTCTGGCTGAGGATGTACCAAGATAGGGGCAGATGTAAACAGAGTCTTTAATCTGGAAAATGCAGTGTCAGCCTTATTGGACCACTGAAAAGGAGTCCCTTTACGTGTAAGTTCAGTGATCGGTGTAATAACGGCAGAGAAATTCTTAATGAAACGCCTGTAAAAATTGGCAAACCCCACAAATCTCTGTATATCTTTTTCATTCTTGGGGATGGGCCAGTCCAGCACAGCTTTAATTTTACTTGCGCCCATACTTAAACCTTTAGGAGTTATTACATACCCCAGGAACTGAATTTCTGTTTGTTCAAACTCACATTTTTCCAGTTTAATGTATAGGTGGTGGGTACGAAGGCGCTCAAGAACAATGCAGACCTGTTTTCTGTGATTTTCAAGATTATCAGAAAATATCAGGATATCATCCAAATATGCCACAACAAACTGATCCAGGAGATCCCGTAGTACATCATTGATTAGATGCTGAAAAGTTGCAGGGGCATTACAAAGCCCAAATGGCATTACTAGATATTCGTAATGTCCGTACCTGGTTCTGAAAGCTGTTTTCCATTCATCATTTGGTTTTATGCGAACCAGATTATATGCCCCCCGTAGATCAAGCTTCGTAAATATTTTAGCTGAACGAAGTCTCTCCAGAAGTTCAGGAATGAGAGGCAAGGGATAACGGTTTTTAACAGTGATTTTATTAATGTCCCTGTAATCGACACATGGCCGTAGACTGCCATCTTTCTTTTCTACAAAGAATATAGGAGCTCCTGCTGGAGAAGTGGATGGTCGAATAAAGCCTTTGGCAAGATTTTCTTGTATGTATTCACGAAGTGCTTTCAATTCAGGCTCAGAAAGGGAGTATATACGGCCAAATGGGATAGCAGCTCCAGGTAGCAGCTCTATGGGGCAATCATAAGGCCTGTGAGGTGGAAGTTGATCAGCATTCTTCTTATCACAGACATCTGCAAAATCCCGATATTGTACAGGAAGCTTAGTTAAGTTTGTAGCAACCATTTCGTTAATTGTTGTGGTAACAGGTGTCGCCTTAGAGGGTTGACAATTCATTAAGCAGTGTTCTGAAGGAAAGGACAAGGTTCTAGTCTTCCAATCAATCTGTGGGTTATGCAGAGCAAGCCAGGGTATACCCAAAATCACTGGAAACTGTGTTGAGGAAATTAGGTGGAAAGATATAGACTCATGGTGATTCACTTACAGAATCAATTTTAAGGGCACAGTCTCATGTGTAACCGGGCCTGACGTAAGTGGAGAACCGTCTACTGTTTCCATTAACACAGGTGAAGATTTAGGGATAGACTGAATTTTATTTCCTGCTGCAAATTTAATGTCCATAAAGTTTCTGCCTGCTCCGGAATCTATCATAGCTGTAGTTGAAATTTTATTATCACCATATTGCAAAGTGATAGGCACCACCAAATGAGGATGTTGAGTCATCATACCTTCTTAACCCTGAGCCAGAGAAAACAAGGGTTGTGTGACAGAATCCAGTTGGTCTGAAATCTGGGATTGGTGTTGAATCTGTGCAGCCTCAGCAGTCATAGCTATTGTTCTTTTAGACTTGTTAGGGCAATTGATGGCATAATGCCCTGCACTACCACAATACAGGCATAAGTTGTGAGTGCGTCGCCACTGTTTTTCTTCATTGGATAATGGCCCTCTTATTTGATTTACCTGCATAGCCTCAGGTTCAGAGTCTGTAGGTGTTTGTGGGGTCGGAGTAGAAATTCTTGAATAGAAAGTAGGAGTAGCACTTGGTTTAAAAGAGCCCTGTCTTTCCAATCTTCTTTCTGGAAGTCTCCGATCAATACGGATAGCCAACCGCACAAATGCATCAAACTCAACAGGAAGATCAACACGAGCTAGCTCATCTTTTATAGCTTCTGAGAGACCCCTTCTGAAGTGGAACCTCTGGGCTGATTGGTTCCAAGTAGTATCAGTAACCCACTGTCTGAATTCAGCAGCATATTCAGCCACAGAGCGCCTCCCTTGATGTAAATGAAGGAGAGTGGCTTCTGCTGTAGCACAGCAATTGGGATCATCAAAAACTAGGCACATGGCCTCAAGAAAGTCTTTTAAATTTCCCAAGATTGGACTGTCCTGTTCCAGAAAAGGGGAGCCCCAGGCCAGAGCTTCATCTTTGAAGAGGGAAAAAATAAATCCCACCTTCTCTCTTTCAGATGGAAAACGGTTAGGTAACATCATGAAATGCAAACGGCATTGATTTAGGAAACCCCTGAATTTTTTGCGGTCTCCTCCAAATTTTTCTGGTAGAGGCAAGCGGGCATCTTGTGCAGGTGTAACAGTAGTAGTAGCAGCA